CCCGGCCGCCGTCAATCCTCCGGGTGAGTAGCGGCCGAGCGGCAGGCCCAGCCTGAGTCGCGCAGCCCGGGGGTGGGAAGCGGCCGCCGCCCCGCAGCCTCAGCATCAGCACCGGCCGCGGCATCCTCATCCATAAATGGTGCTCAACCTGGTCCCGCCGGCGCCCGTCGCTGCCGCGGATGACTCAATGCTCGCCCGCGGGCTCCAGAGCCACGGGAGCTGGTGGATGCCAGGTGTCGCACCGAGCGAGAGAAAAGTTTGGAGCGGGGATTCAACAGGGCAGAACTCCGGGGACTCTTCGCCTGTCGGCCCCGCCTCCCCAGCGCCGGTCTTTGGCGGGGTTTACACCTGGTCACTGTATATCCCAGTCCTTCCTGGACACTAAAAACCCAATTGGTAATAATGTAGACAGGAGCCAGCCCTGTCCCTGACCGATTGCCTGCTCTCTCCCAGGGTGCAGCCTGTGACCGCTAGTCTCATGCCGGCAGATTAGAAAAATAGGAGTTCATGAATGAGTGGGAGTGTTGGGCTGCTGTGGCAGGGGAGCCCTATTGTCGTTGGCAAAGTTCCCTGTGGTTTCATGCGAGACTGCGAGGATAGGATATGTGACTGCCCCCCAAGTTTTAGGTTTTGTGTTGTCTGCTGTGGGCTTGGAGAATCACAGGTCACTGTGGCTGAGGTAGGAACAGCCAAAGAACTCAGACCCCAGGAAAGCCCAGTGAAAGAGGTCTTGTGTTGGAGTGCAGACCCGGTGGGGTGAAGAATGTCTTTAAAGTTATGAGTGAAAGATAACTCCATCCAAGGTGGCCGGGAAAGTTGGGGGACATTGGGCACTAGCTGGACCTTGCAGAAGGTGCAGTTTGAGAATGCCATGCCTTAGGCATTGCAGCCCTAAGTCATGAAGTCATGATGGGCATGCTCTACACATGGGCTGGAGGCCAGTGAGTGAGGTGCGAGAAGGACTTACATTGGGTTCCATGGGTGTGTCTAGGCTCAAGGGGCCTTGAAAGACAAGAACTGTAACTTCCCACGTTAAGAGAGGGTTTTAAGCCATAGGGAGCAGAGGAGCCACCTGGTCGCTGCTTTCCTGTAAGGCCGACCTGTCAGCTGTGTTGAGGTAACATAAAAGGTAGTGAAACTGGAAGCTGCGTTGAAAGGAGGCAGAAGGAAGAGGTCAGACTTAGCTGTGGTGGCTCGAACCAAGGAGAATGAAAATACCAGGGGCCGACAGAGTTTGGGACCTGGCCTTCTTTAGATTCGGAGTAAAAGCAAACAGGAAAGTCAGAATACACAGAGGCAGGTGCCTGTGGGGGCACGGAGGTGGGAAACCTTTATAATTCCCAGGAAGGAGACTGATTAACTGAATCAGGCAATCCTAGAAGAGCAGACATGGAGCCCCCCGTTGGAGCACTGAGTGGGTAGGTGACCGGCTTGGAAGCACAGCTGCGTCGTTCTGTTTACCACTGAAGCGCTCCCACCCTCTGTTCTGCTACCGAGAGATCAATAGCAAATTAATAGATTTAACTGTCATGAGATTAGAAAAAGCAAAGGAAAAAAAAATGAAGACCGTTGAGCTCAGGATGGGCTTCTGTTGGGAAAAAGAACAAGCACTTAGGTGGCTTACATAACTCACCCACCATTACATCACTGTTGGAAACTGCTCTGTCCATTGCATTGCTCTCTACGCTGTGTGGGATAAAGATGGTACGGTCAGTCACCCAGTGCGCGAGAGCCTCAACCTCAGAGCGAGGAAGGAGTGTTGTCGGTCACGGCCTGGTCAGCTTGATACACTGTGATGGGCAGGTCTTTTCTCAGTAGACAGAAATACCAGAGAGCCTGACCCTGGTGAGAGTTTCTCAAAGAAAATGTCTTGCAGTGATTAACTAGTCTACCGCCCACCATCATGTCTTTAGCTGGTCCTCTGTGATGGCTTTTGGGTCTGTAGGGGTCTTGGCCTTGCTCCTTATAAGGCTTCTGCTTCTTTGGGGGCAGAAGAGTTAGTCTCGAGGAATATGGTTAAGCATGTGAGCCAAAGAGAGATACTTCAGATTGTACGAGAAATTACTATCAGGTAGCTGCTCACCCCATGAGCAGAAGTCACGTGATGTTTCTTGGGCATTTCTCTTCCTACCTCCACCCTCTCCTTAGATGTTGCTTTGCACAGAATGAGAGCTTGGTAAACATATCTAGGTGGACTTAGAGGCAGGACGATTAGTCTC